TGAGAACATTAAGAATTCAAAAAATGCTTTTGTGAGAACATAAAATTAAATTTGGATTATTGATCTTCGTACCATCTATAACACTATACTTTAAGAAATACACTACCGTTAGAACAGCAACAACGCACACTACTGTTGTTATCCAATCAAATGTGGCTAATTATTTGATAAAAGAGAAATTAACGTTAAAGAATCGTACACTAAATCTATTGCAACAGCGGATATTAAGCATCACATACCAGCTTGTGCTACTAGAACACTATAAAATACAAAGTCTCCCAATCTCAACCCATTTCTTTCATCTAAATATTAAAAAAAATTAGACTTGCGAAAAATATACATATATATATATATTCAATAAATTTGAAATATTAATAAAAACCTTATTTGTTGGGTGATATATTATTTTCAGAAGGATTCACATTAGTTTAGAGCGAATTAGATAAATTATTAGCCCCAATGTTATTGTGAGTTTCAACGTCAGCATCTCTACTATAAGAATTATGGCCTACATTTTCTGATGAAGGTATATCTAGGGTTGTATTACAAAAATTACAATTTTACATTTCATGTAATTTTGAAAAACTCAGCTAGCATTATTGAACTACAGTAGATTCTGTATGACCAAATCGATGTACATATGATTCAACCAATTATATGAGCATATGATCATGTTTCTTACAAATTACATGTTACTGAAAACTTACACAAAATTTCACAAAATTACGTAAATTACGGTAATTTGACAACCCTAGGTATATCTTCACCAGGTGAATAAAATTAGAAGATGTCTTTGCGGAGGATGTAGGATTTACCGATGAAATAAATGATGAGGGAGAAGAATCAGTATGTGCAAATAATCTGCTAGGTGGAATTTGAGTTGAAATTTTAGATGCGGCTATCAGCCAAATAGGACTGATAAAAATTTATTAGAAAAAATAAACACCGATTAGTTTACATAAAATATATTAAATGTTGGAGATGATGCTGAAACAAGATGATGCTGAAACGTGGGGGTCCCAATTTAGAAATATAAACTCTACTAAAATCCACCTATACTTTTTTATTATAAATACTAGCCCTAAACCCTAACTTAACTGCAAAAAAAAAGCTAAAAAAAACATCTTCCAAAAACTTTAAAATTTCATATTAAAATAAATTAATGTTTCAGCATCATCCCCAACATTAAATATAATATAGGTTTGATTACAAAATAGTGTTGCAGGTGAAACTACATCAAAATGAAATAATTTCATCAGAATGAAATAATTTCGTCAGAATGAAATAATTTCGCCAGAATGAAATAATTTATTCACTAAAGGCAAACCATTTTGATATATTCTAGTTTAGCCTTTAACAACATAAGCAGGAATATAAGTAAGAACATAAGTAGGCGAAATCACTTTTCAAATTCGAAATATTTTGCCAGTTAAAATAATTTCACAAAGTTGAAACATTTCGTTTAGCCTGTAATATTAATCCTAAATAAAGTGTACTAGAATATAATAATACCAGAATTTCATGCTGATTCTTCTTTGATGATTCGACAAGAATATGTAAAGGTCCAAATGGACATAGTACAGCAATCAGATCTTTGATTATTAGAAATTCAAAGTCAATTAATATGATATAAATATTACAAATCATTTTATAGTTAAGAATGATTGTCAGATAAAAACCACGTAGTGTATAGTGATAGACCAGTAAGAAAAAATGGTATCTATATTAGCTGCAAATGTTATGAGAGCTTTTTTAATATAGCAAAAAATAGCTACTATCAAACTCGACATAATCATCAAATATGCTTGCTGTAACAACAGAGAGTCTTTTCAGAAAACAGATATAAGGCCCACCGCAGTGAAATTTTATAGAGCAAATATGAGGATAATATAATCTAATGGTAAAGAAAGAATCATTATAATATTTCTATGAAAAGAATAAATGATGAGAATACTGCTTATGAAAAAAATTCATCTTGCGTTTAAAAATAAATACATACCATATCAAAAGATATGACATAAACGCGAGAGGAAAAAGCACCACAAACATAAAGAACCCTACGAGTTAGTATATATATATATATAACCGATAAATAAATAATACCGAAATACCAATATAACTCACTTTTATAAATCCGTATTTATTATAAATAGAAATACGATGACAACTGTGGCCACAATAATTTGTACAATAAGGATTGCTGCAACATAAATAGAGGAGGAGAGTGACGATAAATTATCATTAAATTGTTAGACACTTGGTTACTACCTCTGTAAAAAAGTAATTGGTAATTAATAGATGCAACAAAAGTTTTAAATCGTATATAAACAGCCTTTTCGTCACCTCACCCAATCTCAAGATAGGATAGTGCTTTTGTTAATTTTACAACATGTAGAACCGTCCTGAGTATGCCCTGAGTTTGTAGATTGTTATACAAGCGATTCAATTGATTTAAAAAATTTTCGTATTACAATACTTTTTTCGAAAACTCGGGTAGATTATCTCTTTTTTCAACCCAGTCAAGTATACTAAATAAACTTGAAGTTTTTGTGCAGTACTATAACAATATTAGTTGAATCCCTTTGAATCCCTCGATCTTCATATTACAATTTATTTACCGAAATTATAAGTTATTTTGATTGCAACATTAGCAAAATCTTTTTGTTGAACCAAAAAAACATAAGAAAACCTTAAAATAATGCTTTATAATGTTAGTGTAGGTGGAAGAAATTAGGTTGTATATTTTTTTATTATATATGTTGCATAGAAATCCTTTAGAAATTAAAAGTAAATGAATAATATTAATTTACTATGCGATTTATTAATAATATTATTATTAATATTATTATAGGTGCTTTTAT